CATTCACGTGATATTTTTAGATTTTTATACTGCTGTTTTACAGTTAAATCATACCGTAAGTACTTTAATTCTAGCCTGTGATATTAATAGTGGAGTTATTTGGTCTGTTGGCTACCTTTTAGCCTGTTAGCCAGCTGACCAGCCTAGTTCTAGCTAAGAACATAAGTTGCCAGCCCCTCAGTTTAAACAAAATGCGGGTTCTTACTTCATCAGTACACTCGGTGGCTCATGCAAGCAGCATTAGAGTCAAAGATTATTGCATTAACAGCACAAGGGTTTGTGCTGTGGCATAGTAATTTACAATTCAGATGTTGTGAGGCAGTCATAGGTGTGCATATATCACGGATTTTACAACGGCTTCGAACACGGCTCAGCCAGTCAGATTTTAGTACCGAAACTATCCGTTCTATAATAAAACTTTGGGCCCACTTATGGCCAATTTAAGGGGTTAAAATATGCCATACAGTTCATAAATCAGATAAGTCTGTTTGAGACCACCTAACAACTTGATGTGGTTTAAGGCAAGTGTGCAACTTGTATGACGGTGAAGTATAAACTTCCATTACTTTATAGCTACATTTGCCTTGTAGCTCTGCTATGAAACTACAGAAGTAAATTTCAAACACATCTTGGCTGATCGACTACAGTTGGGGTGAGGTACAATTCTGGCAAAAGAGTCCTTTAATATAATCATGATTTATCTGCTACAAACATCCAAGGACAGCAGTGTGCAATAGCCTCATCTAAAATAACACAATGCCCTTACAACTATCCAAATAATCTGCCTGTGTTTATAAATGAAAGGGCTTTCTTTGTTTTAAGCAAACATAGAATATCCCTTTAAGTCAAAGCCATTTTCCCACACTATTGAACATCACAAATGGTTTGTGATGCGCATTTATGTTCGGCTTCAAGGCCCCTTGGAATCAAAGCTCTATACACATTAACATTTCAAAACTGGATACAATTGTGCTGCGCACTTGCAAAAATATAGGCTAATGAAGCGTGCTCAGTGTATTAACAGTGCACTCTTCATTCCCATCCTGTGGTGAGCTTAACGTTTCTTTTTTTCACGGAGCTGCTTGCAATTACAATTAAAGTGTAAATGTCACACCACAGACCTGGAAGGACATGAGAGGAACCCTCCTCTCTAATGAAGTGGCCATATGACGCTGGCAGCAAGGTTAAAGTATGGTGGGATTAAGACCTCTGGTATTAGAGCTTAAGGAGCCAAGGGTCATCCAACCAGCACAAATTGGTCTTGCACTTTCAACACAGGTCCATTACAGGGGAACTGTCTCCATTCTCTGAAGAAAATGTGCTAGTGCGAGGGCTTAGAGGTGGCAAACACATCTCTAAGAGGTTACACGGTGTCAACGTATCATGGAGTTAGTGGTGCTAAATAGTGTATCTATCTTTAAGAGGTTTTGACATTTTGCTATGTTATTAAGATGTAATTACACAATTAATTACATAGTTAGTTACATAGTAAATTACATTTATATTCAATTTTGTTCAATTGCCTGTATCTTCAACTTTCTGTTTGTCAACTAATGACAAAAACATGACAAAAATATCAAGGATGTTTTTTCTTCCCACAAAACAAATTTCTACAGCCATTGTTTTCAATCAAACCGTAATAAAACATTTATTACACCATGCTTTTATCACTGACAGTTCCTGCAACTTCTAAGGGTAAAACCAACAATATTAGTGAAGCTATCTTAAATACAAATGCAAAAAGACGGAAATACATAGTAAAAATGAAACATAAACACTTGTAGGTTTACCAGTTAGAATAGTGCATTGGATTTATTGACGACTGGAAGAGATGATTAGGATGAATGCCTAACAATCCACCCCTGACCTTATTGACCCACTAAAAAAAGGAAAAATACCAAAAACAAGCCCAGTTTACCCTGCCATGATGCTGTGAACACCTTTGGCAGGTTAGATCAAATCAAATCAAATCAAATTTATTTGTATAGCGCTTTTTACAACTGATGTTGTCACAAAGCAGCTTCACAGAAATCTGTTTAGAACAAAGTTTCAACATGAACTGTAAATCCTCCAGGTGAGCAAGCCAGGGGCGACAGTGGCAAGGAAAAACTCCCTCAGAGCTGAGGAAGAAACCTTGGGAGGAACCAAGGCTCACATGGGGGGACCCATCCTCCTCTGGTCAAACCACGTACAAAATTATTATTCTACTAATATTAATAGTAGTAGTAGTAATAGTTAGGAAGTAGGTAATAGTTAGGAGGTAGATCTAGCCTTCTTTACTCATGACATTATCTATATGGCTTGAACTGAAAAAAAAAAAGACATGGCAAGCCCTAACCTCAAACAGGCCCCATTACCGCCCACAAATAGATTTCTCTGAACAAAGCACCTCTTGTCATCATGTAGTGTTATTTCACGGTCTGTCTGAAGCATCTGGTGAGCAAAACACAATGCCATTGAATCAGACACGCAGATGCCAAACTGAGCCGTTGATATATTGCATAATGGCACGGAACAATGCAGCGAGCTCTACCTGCAGGCGGATGTTTACGGGGGATCTATTTGTCCGTGCCAGAAGCACGTGATGCTCCGAACAGGTTATTTGTCAGGAATTGCCTTCCATGATAGATGCTATGTTGTGAGCATCAATATGAGGACTACAGGCATTTAACCTTGCCATGCTGAGGGCAAAAAGCAGAGAGATGCTTGACTTCTCTAGCTTCATTGCTCATATTCAGCAGCTGAAATATCACAACAGGGTCATCAGGGTCTATCAAACCTGGAAACATCCATTTGCAATGAAGAGTTCCTTGGAGTGGTACCACAGAACCATTTTTAATTCCTTGAAGTACCTTACAATGGATGGTTCTTTATGTTCTTTGAGAGACATGTGGGCATGAAAAAGTTGAATTAACCTTCATATAATGTAAAAGTTCTAAAAGTGCTTTATCAATCACAGGCTGATCCTAGAACTGAGTACACAAGCATTTAAGAAGCTTCATTTTTAAGAGCTTATGTGCTTCAAACTTCCTCACGTACTCAAAAGGCAGAGAATGAAGGAGCATCTGCAAGCTTTCACCAACTGCGATCCAAACGCATGAGCCAGTTCCACAGGAAGTGTGCTGAATCACAAGGGAAGGTAATTTCCAACAGCACTCCACAAAGACAAATGAAGAAATAAATAAATGAAATCTGCCACTTCGCAGATGCACCAAATCACACATTGAAGTGTGTCAAATCGTGTGAACTTTCTGAATGTACTGTGATTAATCGAAGAACTCTCCCTGATTCTTTTGAGCCCGGAAACAAGAGCACCCCAAGCTATTAGCAGGGAATCCATTACGCTAAGAGGAAGCGGGCTCCTAGCCGCAGAGACGTGAGGAAGCTCGGGGGCCGAGTACTGTCACGATTACAACTCCAAGCACTGCTAGGCTCAGGAAAGTGTTTTGCAAATCAAGAAACGTGTCAGCCTCACAAGGCTGGGAAACTACAAACGGGGGAACAAGTGTTTGGCCCACATTCAGCTGCCTCCTACATCTCATCTCCAGAGCATTCTTGTCACTTCAGAAAAAAAAAAAAAATCTGGGATAAGCACTGCAGAACCATTACAGCTGCAAATTTACATTATCATGTAGAAAAAAGGAGGCACATTAAAAGGAATGAAAAGGAATTGTATAGCAGCTCGTCGGTGGTGCACCAGTCGCGGAAATTGGAAAGAATACTTTCGCTCACATCCCTATCACATCCCAGCCAATGCTTTGCCACGAGGTACCAGCGGAAGAAGTACAGCAGATGCAAGCTAAACGACTCTCTGTGGGATCAGATTATGTATAATGTAACACTAGGCACTGCTTGAAAGATTTTCTAACCAAAAGAATGAGCTCAGCAGCACAGCACTGTTACGTACCAAGCAGGTAGACTATCAGGGCCATTCAACTGGCTGTTCAGTCAGCAGAAATCTAGAGAAACATGAACACGCCTGAGATAAAAGACTGATGTCAGATTCAAGGACTTCAAACAATACAGCGCCTCATCGTTTATCCTCTCAGGTGGCAATGAGCAATGGGGGATCACATGCTTCAGGAGGTATCCATGATTGATTGAATGAATAAACAATAAATAAATAAATAAATAAATAAATAAAGTGAATAGACAATCAAATAAATGAATAAATAAATAAAAACACGCATAAAAATTGCATTTAAATAAAAAATAACTAAATGTCATTCAATAAAATAAGTAAATAAACAATCAAATAAATGTATAAATATGTAAATAAATGCATAATTCAAAATGCATTCAAATAAATAAGTAAATAAATAAACAAATAAATAAATAAATGAATAAGTGATGTGGCGGTGGAAGTGCGCGAACCAAGCTATTCTGCCAAATGACACACAGATGCACTCGCGCGTACCCCTCACAACGCCCCCATATACACACACACAAACACACACACTGAGTGGAAGTGGCCGCGTACCCCCCCCGCCCCCACCACCCCCAGTGGCTCGTCCCCGTTTAGACGGAGCGCGTGCGGTATGAATCCCCTTCAAACTGCTCCCATTGTCCCAAACACCCCCAGAGGCCACCTCCACCAGATACAATCCCCTCTTGTGGCACGTGAGGTCCAGCTAAAGTTTCCCTCTGCGGCGCCACTGCTGCTATTCAAAGCCGTGCGCGAGCAGCGTCCGCTCCGAAATCTACAGTCCTTCACTCTCGCGCTAAACGCTGCCCGAGGCACCAGCACAGCAGCTCAAACGAGCCTCAAAGCTCTGTGGCATCATTAGTGGTCTCGGGTCAAGCAGCGTCTGATACAGAAACGCTGACTGACCTCGGCGCTCGGCTCGCGCGTGGAGTGATTGGCGTTTGCTCTAATTCTCTTAACTTTGAGGATTTCTCTCATCCGTCCACTTCCCCCTACATTCACACGGCGTGAGCGTACTGAGTGAGGATAAAGAAACAAGGGCGCGAGCCCGGCTCGGGAAGGACGTGCGCCTCACCTTTGGCGATATGCGGGACGGCCGCACTCACGCAGAGGACGACGGAGACGAGGAGCGATGGAGGTCCCATCCTGAGCACGGACGGTGGCAAACGGGTGGGGGGCAACTTCAGTCCTCCGTGGAGAGTTCACACGCCTTCGAGTAGCTCCTCACGCGCAGGTGCTGCCTTCGAGTAGAAGAACGAAAGAAGAAAAAATAAATAAATAAATAAACGAGGTGATGAAGCAAAGCAATCCCAGGCGCGTCACGCGCTTCGCAGTTGACTGTACCGCAGTGGCGCGCGAACCCAGTGCCAACAGTCCGCGCGGGACCCAGAGGCGAAGACGGCTCTGAGCGTGCACTCGCGAGAGAGCGGAGCGATAGACTGGAGGCGCGCGCTGCCACAACGGTCGCTACACGGGCGCTCGAGCAGCGGCGCTGTGCTCCTGATAAAAAAAGCGCCGCGCGCGCGCCTCGCCTTGCCTCGCCTCGCCTCGCTCCTCCCCGCCCCGCGCGCACGTGCAGAGGCTCCGCCAGGGCGGAAAGGGAGAGAGAGAGAGAGAGAGAGAGAGAGAGAGAGAGAGAGAGGGAGGATGATTATCAGAGGACACTGACTACGTTGACTACGCAGTATGTATTGGAATATATACAATGTCCAAAAGTATCCAGACGCCCCTTCTAATTGTTGAATTCAGGTTTACCCACTGCTGAAACAGCTTGTATGATCTCCACAGAAAAGCTTTGCCAATAGAATGAGAGGGTCTGGAGCAGCCAAGCATCAGCCTAAGTCTGTGGTCTCCAACCCTGGACCTGGAGAGCTACCTTCCCACACCAGCTAGTTCCAACCACAGTCAACCTCATCCCAAAACACTGACTGGCTGGATCAGATATATATGAGTTAAGTAAGGGGCAGCATATTGGATACAGGTTGGAACTAAACTCTGCAGGAAGGTAGTGGTTGGAGACCACTGGCCTAAACTCACCATGCCCAATGTCAAGCATTGGCTAGAGGGGTATAAAACCCCTCAGCATTGGGCTGTACTGTGGTGTAACTCCGATCTCTGGAGTGATCGAGCTCCATTCATGAGCTGGAGTCGAATTTGTGATCCAGAACTTATCATCCAACATCAGTACTGACCTCACTAATGCTCTTGTGGCTGAATGTAATCAAACCCTCACAGCAATGTTCCAGCATAGTCTGGAGTCTTCCCAGAAGAGTAGTAGCGGTTACTGCAGCAAAGGGGGTAAACTCGCTATTAAAACCCTTGATTCAGAAGAACATTGGTTGAAAAGTGGTCTACAAACTTATGAACATATAACCATTAGATACAGATGTAAGATGTAAGATCAAGCTGATTAACAACAAAGACATGTGTATGGGGCTTTTACACTTATCTTGTACATCTACTCACCTGTATACAGAGACTGTAGACCTTCTGGTCCTGGAGATCTACCACCTTGGATAGTTCTACTAACTGGCCACTTAATTGGAAAAAAAAATGAACTGTCTCTGTGTGATAGTTCAGATCCAACACACCTGCCACTAATATCTAGATGCCCCCAAAGGCCTTCAGTAACTGGATCAGGTGTGTTTGATTTGGGTTGGAGCTAAGCTCTTCAGGGTGGTAGATCTCCTAGACCAGGATTACGCACCCCTGCTGTAGCCCATCTGTTGTTGCACACTTTGTTAGTCATCCCAGCCCTCCTAATCATAGTTTTTGACCACAGAACAGCTCTTTGCTGAGTATTATTTGATGGTGGACCATTCTCAACCCAACCGTGATAATGAGACTTGTAAGAAACCCCGGCAACCCTGCTGTGCCTGACACCCTTGTATCAGCCCCTCACACACACATTCATGCCACTGTTATTCTTGCCCAATTAATATCTGGCCAACAGTGCTCCTTTGGTCAGAAACTGGCAAATGACCAGTGATTGAAAGGCTGACAAATTGGATTGAAGTTATATGTGCTGTGTTATAGGCCCCGAATGGAAAAATGTAAAGTGCAACTTATCTATAACAAAATTGCGAAGTGTGCCACATTTTAATGCATTATAAAACGTTTCATACACCAAATAAACCATAAAATAATGCACGTCTCCAATTTTCATACTTCACACTCATCAATTGTCAAAAAGAACCTCCGTCATGGGGCAGCAAAGCTCATAGGTTGAAGGAGCTTGGTAGGAATAATTACTCAATATGCTACAGTATAACCCATAGGGATCTACTGACAGTTAAATATGGAGTTTAATTAATGTCAAACAAATGACTGATCTCTGACTATTGAAGTGTACCTTTACAGTTAGATGCCATCAAACGCGTGCTGTCAAAAGCTACAGAGAATCTAAGCAAAGTCTTCTGGGATCAGTCAAAATAATCTCTCTCCTGCTTTCACTCTAAACAGTTCCCTGTTCACTAATAGATGCGGAGAGTTTTCTTACCTTTAGGGAAATCCAGTTATGCCTTTTCATTTTCTAAAATGGAGCATGGTGGTGTCAACTTAAAGTGCATTTCCATTACTAACACATGCTGTAAAACAAAGATTTAGGGATATTTTTTTTATCAATGTCATATCTATTACCAATAAAAAGAGTAAGGTTTGCTTTATAAACCTTGTCTGTACAAGATAGCCTTAAAATGTTCAGAATTTTTCTGCCAACCGCAATTAATAATCCTTTTGTCATTTTCTTGGCTCTATCTATGGATATTCTTGATGTCGCACCAAGCTAAATATGATCTCATGCCTCTCACACAGAGGTTCATATTGGTGTTCTCAGAGTAGAAATGCTGTTCTAAAATCAAAATTTGGTCTTCTATATCTATTGCATGTGATCCTGTATCAGAATTACTGCTAAGGCCATGATCTTTGGCTATATACACTCTTGAAAAACAGAGGTTTCTATATGGTTCTTGGCCTCTATGTACTGTTGTAAGAATTTGGTATATAACCATTACATACATTATATGGAGGTCCTTTAAACTTTATATAGTTCTTTACATTCTCTTCAATGCAAATTTTTTGTGGATTGAAAAAAATGAGTCTACTTTATAACATTCCTCCGAAGAGCTATTTTTGGCACCTTTATTTTCAAAGTGTAGACGGTCTTTTATCAACAGAATAGACAACAAAGTTATTTGCCTTTCATTATCATGCAGTCACCAAAGCCTTTGACCACTGCTGTGGTCTAATTAGAATTTTTATTCAAATTGTTGTACCACTGATCTCTCCATTAGACATTGTTTGCATCCAAGCTATAGATAGATCAGCGGGCTAGCAAACTCTCTGGCCTTCTCTGGGACCCATTCAGCTTTGACTTTTATTAATGTTTGAGAGAATCGTGATCTCCTGCTGCTTAGGCAAAGCAGAAACTCTGAACCCAGCATCTCTCCATACTGATTTAAACCAGCCGACATACACCGCTGAGTTTGTGCCCTTTACACCGCGGTTTGTCAAAAGCATCCATGCTATTTTCAAACTTCAGGAAACAAAAACTCCTTCTGTGTCTGTTTTTGCATCAGTGAAATCCTACTTTTTTGTACAGTCTTGATACTGGAACTACCCAAAGACTGTGCTGTTCAGAGGTTCACATGAGATACTAGGCCCAGTATAAAGGGGGAGGGGGGGACTACATAGATGGGCTTAGCCCACCCTGAGAAGACATCAAGCCCACCTGCTGAAGAGGTGTGAGAGACCAAAAAATTGTTAGAAAAACCTGCTATTACACCTTGCAGAAACACACAGCATTTTAGGTAGTTATTTAAAAATTTGATTGTCGAGATATTCAAAACAAATTTGTGGGAGACCTTGGAGTGGATGACTTAAAAACCTCTTTTTACAATAATTTCAAATGGTCTTTGTTATAGCAGCTGTTGACTTCTGCACATCAATTCATCAAAGGTAAGATATAAATGGTCTTTTCTTTGCCCACCATAGCAATATGCTTTAGCCTTGGATTGATGGTTTAGATTTTTATGTTTGCTGGTGTGTGTTTTTACTCAGTTATGTGGTCTTCGTTGGGATAAATATTGTTGCTGGCATGAACAGACATATTCTTTTATAGTGCAGGGAAATTGCAGTGTTGCTTGATTTTATGTGAAGCCTACACTGTTGTTGATGGGTGCACAGTCTTGTTATTGTATTGTAGGTATGGAATAAGTAGGATCATGACTGCACTGTTGTCAACAATAGGCCATAGTCTGGTGCAAAAGACACAGTTTGGAAATAAACTGTAGCCCAATCCGCCCCTTCCTTTTTTGTGCCTGCCCACATATAGTGAACAGACATCTGAAAAGGTTTTTCTTGTGCTGGGAGTATAAGAAACATTTCAGTGGATTATACCCTCAAAAATAAAGGTTCCTAAACGGTTATTGGCTTAGATGTGTCCTTACTGTCACTAGGGCAGTATTCTTCTTGTATCCGGGGTGAGACCATAAAATGAATGTCTTCAGTACTTCAAGTTACGAATCATAATTGTACCATATTTCATTGCAATTGCATTTTTTAAGTTGTATTGACTTCATACATCTTATCTTGTCTTGATTTTCTGTTCTGTTTTAAAATATTACATTATGAAAAGTTGCAAATATATGAATACATGTATTTAAGGTACACATTTGGGCCTTAAAACCATAGTTGTACCCTAGAACTTTTCCATTGTTTATGAATTGATGAATGAAAAATATACCTGCACAGCACCTTTTTGTCTGACAATATATAGTTCTAGGGAGCTTAACTGGTGTAGAACCTTTACATTATATGGCAGTTCTTGCACATTTAAATTAGAAAAATGGTTCTTTGAAGATCTATCCATTGAAAGATTCTTTAGGCAAGTGAAAGTAGTATTTTGGTGGAATGTACTTCTTTGACAGCTTTAAGGGCCTATTACTTTAAGTGCTTATTATAAATAAGGCTGATTGAAGTAGAAAAACATCACATAAACTCGAGCTGCCCTACTGACCCAACGGTGAATTGATCGTACAGCATATGATCACATCATAGTCTAACACGAGGGTCAAATCACTTTCAAGGGGTCAGTAAATGACAACTGTCAATGTGGAGTTGCAAGCATAGCAAGGAACGCCTGCTATGTTTTTTCTCATCCAAGCACTTTAAAAAATCATCTCCTGGGAGATCACAAGCCACATTTTTACTCCCATAGCTCTTAATATTTTCAATGTCATGGCCCACGTTCTACCATTAAGGAGGAATGTCAGTGGATATCTGTGAGAAAGTTCTAGCGCTGTTTTTCATGCTTTTGCTATTTAAGTGTTAAGCTTTATTACAGCTTTGTTGTTTGTAAGACAGTATCTCTTGCACCCTTTTGGCGGCGGGTGGAAGGGGGATGATCACTCCCCAC